GTGCCTGTATTTATCATAGTTCATTCCAACTCTTTTGGCATCTTGCTGTTGGTTTTGGTTCCAGGGCTTTAATGTGGACCTTGAATTTGGTTTGCATTTGGAACTCACTTTAATGGCTGGGGATCTGCATCACTTCTTCGTGACCTTTGCACCTGATTATGGGTGTGTATCGACTGGACCTTATCTGCTAATTGTCTCATTTTGCAAGCATATAGACTTTGTTCAAATCCTACTGAAGGAAACAGGCACGGACGACTTGCACAGAGGAATAGTCTCCGGATGCTGTTAGTGAAATGTTTCCAGATAATCCTTCCAGATCTTGGATTGTGATAAAATTTCACAAAGAATACTAAAAACTGCACAACATACTTCATATTTTAAACCTTCAGCCTTCTATTTTGGTCGGGAAATGCTTCCTGACATCTTTCCAAACTTCGGAATACGTGTTAACATCAATAAGAATATATTACAGAAGTGTGTGATAGTGCAACTGAACTTGTGACGAACTTACTTAACTGCCGAAATTAACTGCCGGAACTATGTAGGCTAATAAGCTGAGTGATATGGACATGTGTTTGATTGTTTTTGGCAGTTAACTTCTATTGTCAATTATATCATTTTTTTTTATCATGCCCAAGACTTTATACAAAGTTGGGCTTCGTATAGATTTATACTTTACAAATATATAAAGTGTTTAAACTTATAAAACTGATTATCAATCTTAATTATGTAATATACTTCTTTGTTAACTGGCTGTGCTATGCGGTGCCAGAAATGTAATACTTAAGTATTATGTAAATAAAAGAATTGTATGTGTGTGTATTAAACGTGAACTGGGACTTATATTTAATACTACTGTTTTCATGTTTTAGAAGTTATAACTAGGATTAAAAGTAAGCAAATTAAGCTAAATATAATACAGAATACAGATACATCACAACCAATAACCGTAATGTAGACAACCCAAATGAACACATAAGCTATGTGAAATGTCATCTACGGCTGGTAAACAAGTCTAACAGTGGCTCTCTTGTAATTCCATCTAGATTTAAAGCAGTTCTGAACAATCAGTGGTTAACTTGCATTTTCCAAATTAATTTTACCATTTTAAATTAATATAATTGCATTAATTATTATCAGAAGTATACAACATACACTAATTGATAGAGTAATCAGAGTTTCATCTATCGTCTGCATTCAAACATCTTTCTATCTACTGCATCAAGGAAATGCCATGAACAAAAAAGGTGACTTTCTTGTTGAGCATTCAGCACTCTGCGAAGTCAAAATCACCTGTCATCAAGCTATGCAAGTAATCTGCAAAAGCTGTAAATTGCAGCTGCTGTGGAACGAGTGATATCGGATATGCCATAGCAAGCATTGAAAAAATTTGAGTATCGGCAGAACGTGTGCCCCGTGATGCGAGGAGCACACATTGAGAAACTGCAACGGGCAAACTAATGATATGCTGAACATGGCAAGTTGATAGAAGTAAATCAAATTCACTTATTAGAAGTTCAAACAAGTTTGGTGACTTGTGGCCAATTTTTAACAGAAAACAAGGAGAAATTTAATTAAAATGAAGAAAAGTATAAATGATAAATTGCAGACTAATCAACAATTCTGTAGAAAAGTGTAAGTGTAAGCTTTTTATCTAAATTCAATAAACAGTTTGTTATAAAAGTTACAAGCAAATCTTGGATGCCGAACAGTGTGTTCATATGTATACCTGTATGCACAACACATTCCTACAAGAAAAGAGCATGCTTTTACATATGAAAATCACTTGTTTTTGCATTTTTAAAATACATCTACTGCTTTGCTTATAAAAGCATACTTTGCATGTAAGTGCATGCTTTTGTGTGTGCCAACTTGTTTTGGCTTATAAGCGCATCACACTATTGTGTCAATGTGAATTACCGTACTTTGAAGCGGCTTCTTTCAGGTATAATAAGCACACCAAATCTACACTTAACAACCTAACAGTAGAACAGTGGCATGCACAACTGAACAAGATTCAAACTATACCAACACTTAAAGCACATAATCATACTTCTGCCTTATTGACGGCAGTTTTGGAATCCCAGACATTTAGAAACACGACCTGGACGACCACATAAATGCCAAGCCATCCGTCCTAATCTCGGATGCACGGAAATCCCTGCAATAAGAAAACCATAATCCGGAAGACTTTGACAAATTTGTCGGAAAGTTAATCGCTCCCGGCATCAAATGTCTAAGCCGCAATCAAAATTATTTCTAGTAGACTTACATATTGTATTTTGAATAAATTAACTAGTCAGACATTATGCGCTATCATTGACCTACATTTGACTCTTGATAGTTCATCACCCACACGATTCGTTTTCCCGAACTGCATTCTAATTCTAAATGATACTTTAAATGTTATCTGGATAGTAAACTTATTTGATTTACAGAAATAAAGTCTGAATTTAATACAGCATGAACAATGCATCACAACCAGGAAAGAAATTTTATTCAGTTAAAATTTCAGTACGAAACTGGGAGACAGATATAAATTATTTGACTAAATCAAGGTTTAAGTATTAAAAAACAGGAAAATAATAAGTTACAAAGACAAAAGAGACCAGAATAAAACAATTCGAAGACAACAGTCGCATTGTACGGCCCACAATTAAAGAATCAATTACCGCATTCTTTCCATTGTCTACAAAGGAAGAAAATTGTGGACAGGTAACCTACACGAGGCATTAGTTTTATTTATTAATTATTCCTCATCCTCAAGTCAAAGAAAATGTATATACAAACGAACTGCTTCATAATAAAGAAAAAATTTCATTCTTGCCAAGGTAAATGTCTTACTCCAAATATTCCAAAATAAATTTGACGATAAAGTCGACCTTAAACCAGTTTGGTTTTCATAAGATTATTTTACGTGCGTTAGATCTAGCTAACGCTTGTAAAAAATAAAAAAAAAGAGTATTTAAGATTACAGTTTGGGAATAAAGATCGTACTTGCGGCAACCCAAAAAAACAGATCGTACCAGAATTTAATAACCAATATTTCAATATATGTATACAAGTGATATACCGATACGTCAAATGGCATTACAACGTAGAGGCAACAATACAATGTACGGAAAATAAATCATTTAAATTAAAACATATTATCCAAACATCTCATTTCTACTACGTAAAAGCAACAATACGGTAATTAAAATATTATTATTGATTTCCGTGTGTTATCTGCAGCCTAGACGACAATAATTTATTACGGAAGAACCGTTATCGAGGTAAGACCGAAGAAACAAACGCAAACTAAATTATAAGACTTCATTAACAAATATTTGCATACGATATTGTTCAAGAATTCAAAATCGATATTGTTTCAATCCACTTTTTCTCGGTATCGGAAAAAAACAACAAAGTAATCGTTCGGAAATAGGTCGTCTAATTTTAATGCCGTATATTTTTAAAAAATGAGTTTTTACGATCCGACGACAGCTTATAAAAAAAAGAACTAGTTTTTATAAATATGTATAGAGTAATTTAAAAACAACTTCCCACTCGCAAGCTATCCGACCAATATCTAATTACAATAATCCATATCTAACAAGTAGGTTCTTCTAATTGCAATACATTTTAAAATTATATTTCTGTATGACCTTCTCTCTTTTTTCATTTATTCTTTTTATAGAAAAAAAGTAAATATTAGTCAAATCTAATCTCCAATTTTATAATTTCCGTTTATCTTTATACTTTAGCGTCTTACCGACGCAGATTTTATTAAATCCGAGCGAAAATCTGGATGGTCGAAACCTTTATCCAAATTAATGATTTTATAAAAGTCTAAGCGATTTTACCAATCATTTGGTATTTTAATAATGAACTGATGCAAGATTTATTTAATTTATCACTGCAATTAGCATCTTTTCGGGATTAAATTCGTTAGTAAAAATAAATACTCATTTCGTTTAACACCTGTAAAATTCCTAGAATATTAATGGTTACTTAGAACTTCCTGCACAAACATGACAGCAAATTACAGAAAAATTAATTTATCATCTACTTATTTAACAGCTTAAACATTTTCTTGAAGAATGCGGAAAATTTAATGTATTTGATTAGGAAAACGAGTAATGTAAGGTGCACGTAGACACTTATATTACAATGACACAATAATCCAGCATTCGCAAAATATTTATCTACAATTTACATAGTATATTTTCCAAATGAAAAAGAAAATTCGGTATTTATCTTCTTAGAATTAAACCAATAATATAATTCCAATCAATGATTCATTTATAGATCAAGTATAGGCATTTATAAAATTAGAAAGTTATACTATATCGTATACGCCGTAAATGCTTAGCCGGCAATTTCGGCTTCAAACTCGAAACGTCATCAATGCAAACTCAGTACGTCGGAGATAAAATGCAAAACCGGCCGATTAATTAACGCACGACGTCGGCACGTTTGCAATATATTTACGGTGTCTCGTAGACAACGGGTCGAACGACAGACGGGAAACAACGTCTCGAACTGCAATACCTGCGATACGTTAGAGATTTCGATCGAGTTCAAACCCGAATCCTCGCCGGCGTCGCATCTTACGGCACGTCCACTCGACCGAACTACGCACTACATAAAATAGAGCAAATTTGAAAGATTCGAAACGTTCCCAACACTCGTTCTTCGGCTCTGGCAGGGAACCGAATCGGACGGCATGCGCCGACACCACGTGCCGGGATTGCGGTAACGAACACCGGGACGCCGGCTCCTCGACACCCAAAGAGACAGAGAGCGGCACGGTCACTCCGGGGCATCCCGTTCTTCGGCCGGTCCTGTCCGAAGAACGAACCGGGGCGGACAGCCGGAAGGAGCCAATAGGAAGAAGCGTAGGGGGCATTTCACATTACAGACCAGACACGCGCAGGGGGGGGACAAATCATAAGGGAGTGGAAATCTTCAATGCCCATTATTGCACGTATTTAGAAAACATTAGGCAATATACTCACTTGGATAGATGTTTGAGTATCTGATTTTTGATTAGCGAAACCATCTTCGGAGATGAAATTAATGTAAAATTTCCACTAATAATATTATATTTATCTCGTTAAACCTGCAATAAATAGTAAACCTTCCGTAAATTCCATTTCCAATCTCTCCTGGACTACTCGATCGGTAGCGACGTCACCGATCGCGCACCTCCTAACGGTGAAAGATGGCAGAATTTAATTTTTAATTTTTTTTTTTTTTCTTTTTCTTTTAATGGTGCAAGTCGCTTTCGTGTACGGATCCGTTTTTCTTTCGATTCGCATGGTCAGTGGCGTGGTAACGTTTTTATTTATGTCATTTTTTTTTCCTGCTTCGATATAGTTGATGCGCTGGTCGGCCTCGCCTTTACGTTCGATGACGTGCGCACTTGGATAGTTAGCAATAGTAGCGTTACGCTTCTCTGGTGTTTCCCAACGTGTCTCTATGTTAGACGCAAGATGTTAATTTAACATAGTTTATAAACTGCCAAATGTGAGAGTTAGCATAAACCGCAAACAACTAGGTATGAACAGTTCGATTTGGCACTCATTGCAACGTGCTGAAAGCGAAGGCTTAAATTTGGCACCAATTGCAACGTGCTGAAAGCGAAGGCTTAAATTTGGCACCAATTGCAACGTGCTGAAAGCGAAGGCTTAAATTTGGCACCAATTGCAACGTGCTGAAAGGGAAGACTTAAACTTTTTTGTCCCATGGGGAATAAAAAGCCCTGTTTAATCTAGACCACAACGGCTTCATTTAATTCTATTTTCCGATTAGCCACGTATTAATAGCTTGAATTTTTGGTACCTTAACTTAGCATATGCTCATTTTCTAATCATATGGCATTTTAGTACATGGAGCAGAGTGGAAAGGGGCAAATTGAGAAATTTTCCACTTCACCCAGTTTGTTTCTACTTTATTTCTGCTTATTAATTAATAAGACCATCACAAGCAAATGCTCAGCTCGATACATCAGTTAAAATTTATTTAGTGACAAATGCAACAACACCGATAATTACCGTACATAAGTTTAGTGCGTGTAGGACTGTTTCAATAGTTTTATTTTTTCTGCAAATGCTTGAGTAGATAATACAGTCGACCCCCTATAACACTGTTGATTTTTCCGTTTTATATGTATTCCATGTTGTACGAGTAACTTAGATTTTACAAATATGTGAGCCATTCACAGCCAGGCACACGTATTTGTAAAATTTAAGTGACTCGTACAACATGGAATTCATATAAAACGGAAAAATCAACAGTGTTATAGGGGAGGTTGACTTATTGGTACAAGAGAAAAACGGCGTAACAATCGTGGTGGGAGTCATTCATGCTTCAAGCAATCCGAAATGTGTCGAAATGGTACCATGAAACTACTAGCTGCCTCATAAAAATATGATATCGCTCTATTCACCCATACCGGTGGTTAGCAGGACATCAAATTTTCGTGCCTGTGTCCGTGTCTCCAGAAGATATTACACCAATTCCCAATGCAGATCCGTAGAAGGAGACATTAGGTCTAAAGAGACAGAGAGGAATAACTCATTCTCACAAGTAGTCCCTGCCTTGCAGAACTGAAGGCGGGGAAAAAACTGAAAAAACATGGTAAAAAATCGTGTTGCACGAAAGCAACAAAACCAAGAAACATGAATCATCCTGAAGAAAGCGAAAAGCACCACTTCCCATCCAGAAGACAACTTCAGAATTTGAACAATCTGTTGATGACCAAAATCTCTGTGGCTGTCCGCCATGTTTGTTTTGTATAATTGTATACAGAATAGAAACTCTTTTCTTCTTTCCTGTAATTCTTCTTCCTTCTGTTTTTAACCCCTTCCTGTCACAAGACAGGAGTCTTACTGTTCGTGGGTCCTGATTGGCCAGTGTAGAAAAGGGAAAAGAAGGGGTCCCGCCCGAGAGGGACAGGAGTTGACGAGTCACTTTTAGGTTTGTCACCGACGAGAGAGGAGGTCAGGTGAGGGAGACCGAGTTACAAGCGACAAGGATTCAGGCCTAGGAAGTTAGAGGGTCAGTATAGACCACGTGCGGACGGTGACTTGGAACTAAGTGAGCCTATCCGTACAAGCTCAAGGACCTTCATCGGCACATATTTAAGGTAACTGGTTGTTATTACCCCGGATGTGAACGGATTGTATATTCACCGTCACGAAGCGACTATAATCCCATTATCAGGACCCCCGATCTAAGCTACCGGTATACTATCCAACAGTGGCGTAGTAGTATAGCTGGTAGACGTTAAGGGAAACTGGCCTCTATTTAGGCGTTACAGACGTGGAGAAAACCCTAAAAACTCCACGTGGCCAGCCCGTCCGAGCGAGGCGCGAACCCACGACCGAATTCCTAGTGTTCAGGGAACGAAGACCGCTTGGTCACTAGTGGGCCTTAGGCCTGAAGGACCGACGGACGTTTTTGGTAGGCCCCGAAACAGATGCTCGTAACTCGTGACTGAAGCTTACCAGTAGGTTTCCTGTTGGTCTCGATTGCTCCTCACAACCTTCTAATACAGCTAAATTGGAAAAATGAGAAGGGGAGCGCTGCGTACATTTTCAAAATGGCGGATTGTTACAGTTGCTTCCCCCCTCTTTTTTTGGTGGAAATGCGAGTGATCATTAGACAAAAGTAACATTTGATAAACAGTAGGAGTTTATGAACTATAAAACATTGATGCTTTTCGATTAATTCGGACAACATAAAATTATAATTAACATGCTCAGTGTGTTCTACGTTAATAAAACATCCTGTTTAGTCATAATTTTCTATTGTTTTTTTTAATCAAACAGCATTTAAACGAGCAAAACTAATCTGCATTATCGCTGCCAGACTGTGTGGCCTACTGGCATGACGTTCGTTCATCCAAATTATCATTAAACCAATGATAGAGTCAGCTTCATACAAAACGAAGTAGTGTTTGCCATTGGCCTGCTTAGAAAACAATATGGCGAATAACTGTAAATTTAACTCTAATGATAATTAGAAGTATTAGCGAGCCAAAGTTTTTATCTCTAAAACGTGAACGTCGAGCGCCGCTATTTTGTAAGCAGCGCTCGACGTTCGACGTTCACGTTTTACAGATGAAAACTTCGGCCGCAACCTCGCTATTATCTTCGTAAACAATTTACGTTTAAATTTGTATGGTAACGAAATGCATTTCTTATTACACTACGCTACTAGGACTGGAAAACGACGTAATAACGAGGCATATGGAATTTACGCTAAACAGAACTTCCGGATAAAATTATTATTATTATTATTTTCTTTTTAATTCTTCAAAAGGATTATTCGAAATGACGTACTGTTGCGAAATTTATCCAACAAGGAAAATTGAAGAGGAAAAATATTGCAAAATACTTTTATTTTCTTTGTGTTTTCCTCTTAACGGCGCCTCTTTTAAAGGAAATTCGTATGTGACTATACGTTGAACGTATTTTGTAAACAATACGAGGATGTAAATTACGTTTCGAATTCACAGAAATATTCGTTATGATTCTAAATATCCGAACACAGAGTCAATTTAATGAATATATTTACAAATATTTTTTGATTTTAAAATTAAATTTAACAATACAGTATTATATTTTTGGGTTTATGCACCTCTAATCTACATTCCTGTCTTAAATCAAAGATCATTCGAAAAATCATTGGCATCTTAGCCTAAAGGCAATTGCCTGGGGCCCCTTACGACGCATTACCCTACGGACAAAGGCCAACAAAGGCCAGATGGCTGGTAGCAGCCTACCGCTCTGGGAGACCCGGGATCAAAAAATCCCCAGGAATTTTTCGGGGTTGATCCATCCGGATATGTTGGGCCTCGTCCCTCACCACCCGGCCGCCCCATTTTTGGGCCTGCTAAAAGAGGACCTCTTAGTGCCCGCAGGGTGAAGAGTTAAAAATAGGGCAATTGCCTGAGGGGCCCCACTAACAAGGGCCCCCCAGGCAATTGCCCTATTTGCCCATAGGATAATGTGCCATTGATTTTTCGAATATTTCACCAATCTTTGAAAGAATGTTTCCCTCCCTTTATGGATTTGTCTACGCATGCAATGAGATCAACTGGATGGTGAGGGATGAGACCCAACATACCAAGATCAATCCACTATTGAAAACTTCTGAGCTAAATTTTTGAATTGGTTTACCAAACCAATTTGAAACTCATCAATCCAACAGGCTGCATAGCAGTGGCAGCTTAGCTTTGGCTTGCACTCTGGGCAGGATAGTCCATTCTACACTGCTTGGATTTTCCAAGAGCTGGCAGTCTCTGGGATTTCAACTGATGGCTGCCACTACGGGATTCTGTATTGCATGAGCCATTGAACCTGGTTGAAGAAGATATAACTGCCCGTGGGTCTAAGGAATAAGGCAATGCAACACAAGTGCAATTTGCCGAAAGGAAGTGCTGGAAAGTTTCGTGCAGCCAACCTGTTGGCAAGATGCAAACCTGTGACCAACTACCAGTGGTCAGGTCAGTGGTTTTATCCACTTGGCCACTATTGGGCATAGGGGCTGAATGGATAAAACCATTGGACATTTTTTGTGGGTTGGCACCTCATCAATGGCTTACCACATGGAGTTTTCTGGATTTTCTTCTCCTAAACAGGAGCATTTTTGTATGGAAAGTCCTCTTAGGAGGTTTCCCCTCTTAACAGATCACCCATGTGTCATGTTGCCATAAAACAAATAAACCTAATCCGATATGCTCCTGAAGAATCTGCAGTTTCTCTATTGGAGACAAACTTTATCTTTAGTTGCTCCTTGTGTTACAAAGGGGTTTAAAATCGGAGCCTATCTGAACCTTTTAGTATCACTTCCAGCCTTTCTGGTCCATCCAGAATTATCACTCTGGAACCAAATACCACGCTTGGATGTACAGTATATGGCAACTAACTCTGTATCAAACTCTCAAACACTACTTGTTCCTAATAAACTGTTCAAGATGTATTTTCCAGGCCATACGTTCCACTCAGTACATACCAAAGTCTACTTTACGTATGTAAAACTAGGCTATTTGTACAAATTTGATTTCATTGAGTTAGTATCTTTAAGTAAAGTGAAGTGAAACTAAGCACGGATGAATAAAAACAGCCACATTAAATAATTGCAAACATTTATTATTCTTCTCATGTTCACATATACAGCATATAATACAAACTTTTGAGCAGTAACTTGTTCAATAAACACTTCTTTTCCATTAACAATGGAATGCAACCGCAAATGTAGCGACTCTTTTGAAATTTTGAATTTTGAAAACAACTCGCCAACAATGAGATCAGAAGAAGTAAAGGAAGCTGCTTTAGAAGTAAATCTATTCTGAGGGATTAGATCACAACTTGAATTTTTACATTTGATGCATTCAGCTGCCTGGATCCACTGGGTTTTAAAAGCGAGGACTTTGTTCCTCGATTATATACACTTCAAACAATCAAGACACTTAGGATAATCTCGGATATAACAAAGCCGACTCGACGTACGTTTGCCAAATCTTGTCGCCGTGAGAAAGTGCGTTGCTGACACTCCGAAAGATCTGCAGACTTCAACCTTGATACGTTCACAAGTTTAAAACCGGACAAAAAATTACATATATATTCAGGCACTTGGGTTTAGATTTAGTTTATGGATTGATGCGGAAGGGGGACGAGCTGCCTTCGACACATTCACAACCAAAAAATCATAAAAAATAATTATACAAAATCACATTTTGTGTAATACAAAATTAACATTTATGGAATCAGATCCTTTCCATATTATATATATATATATGTGTGTGTGTGTGTGTGGTGTATATGTATATATACAGAATGTAGCAACGCACTACACCAGGCTATGTCTTACTTGTGTTACATCACTAAATGCAACTGCCCTGGAGTATAGAAAAATCAATTCATTAGTTGGGATGCCACAAATTCTGAACCCCATTCACATGGGGGCAAAGTTTATATTGCATCCTACGAAAGGTAAAAGTGTAGTTTAAATTACAAAGATGCACTCAAATGGAGAGAGATGGACACCATCAAAAAAATAAACAGTGAAACCAGGTATTGCTTATCTGTATAACTGTGAGGGTCACTTAGAGGGGCCTCACAAAGTTTAGTACTGATTGAAACACCCTACAACTTTATAATTTAAACTACGCCATTATCTTTCATAGGATCCGAAATAGAATTCACTCCCATGGAAAGGAGAAACAGAAATTTTTAGCATGCAAACCGACAGATTACTGATTACCTACAGTCTAGTACAATTGAATTTAGTTATCGTGTAACAGAAGAAGACAATGACTGGTACAATGTGTGTGTGTCTACACACCGTATATAAGATATATAGCAATATAATTTCTAAAACAAAGAACAGTTTTGTAAAGAATAAATTATCGAGACGATGTTTTGATTGATAATTTTGATGTTATTCTATTGCCTAAAAACATGTAAAAAATTAAATTTCATGTATAAAAGTTCTCAACTTCATACCTTTTTTTTGATTTATCCATTAACAATATCTCGCATCACTACTGTTATTAAAATTAGTAATTAAAATATAATAAAATGTGGTAAAAGAATTGGAAGATTGGATGCAAACATTTACGCTGAATGTCGAATTACCGTTTGCATTTCGATCTCCAAAATCTTAATTTGCCACGATAAAATCAAATTCTGCATTGCAGAATTAAGATATTTATGTATATAAACTTTATACAATGCCCTGATATCACATTTTAAAATCAGCCGCATGGTTGTTTTGGTAAGCGACATCAATCCATGTCTACGGGAGATGAACATTCCTCCTTGACCGTCATGTCTAAGGCCGTTTCCGCGTCGCTCTCTTCCACGTGCACGCCGGCCGCATTGTCTGCATCTTTCGTTAACAGAGAACGCTGTTTGCAATGCCGGAGTTCGTTCGGATGTCGTAAAAATCTGTAAGCAAACGTAAAATAGTTATCTCTTTTTGAATTTCGGATGACGCCGTAACGTATCGTAAAGAACCAACCTGTAACAGTGTCTTTCTCCAGGTTCCTTTTGTAATATCTTCACTCTGTAATAATACCTGAGAGCTCTCGACATTTTGTCAAAGTTCATGTTTAGATGATTCTTCTGCACTCCCCAGAGACAGGCAAGCTTGTGAGGATCCACAATCTTGAATACTCCTCGACGTTTATCCTTCCATATTATGCAACGGTGATAACGCTGCTGCGAATCATTAAGTAACTGTTGTAAGAAGTCCCACAGCAATCTTACATCTGTCCAACAAATTATAAATTTAAGCAATTATTATTGCAAAAATTAAAATTTACAATGAATCTACTACATCTACCATGGTTTAAAATATAGTTATTAAGATCCATTTTCTCTAAATCTCTATTTCAAGGTAGATACGAAGAGCGGAACAATCAAAACATTTCGAAATTATTATATATACAGCTGTCCCTTGATAATCCGACAGGTATGGGACCAAAGGGTGTCGGATTACCGAAAATGATTACATATTTCGCATTGTTTTGCTAGCAGTAGCCTACAATATTCCCTACTCCAACTGTTTAAACAGAACTGCTCACAGAAAACACACGAAATGTGTGTCATTGTGTAAGAATTGGGTGGGGAGATTCACGTCGCGACATGCTTCTGTGCAAGCAGACACGTAACGTGTACGGGTACCTCGACGGGAGGTGCGTCGGACTGCTGAGCATGTCGGCTTACAAAATGTCGGACTATCAAGGGACAACTGTACTTGTTTATGCCAATTATTTCAAATTAATTGTGTACAATCATAAGTTTATAATGCCGAAAGTTTAATAAACAAGTGACTACAATATTCTCCATATATTAATTTATTATTTTACATAAAGTACACAGCTCAATAGATGGGCATCCACACAGGGGGAAAACGTGCCCTCCCCTGGGACTGAGCAAAAATTTTTACAAATTAACATAGCAAAAGTGATTCAGATACATAACCTTACACCGTTGACAATAAGATGCTTTATCTGTCTTTTTGTATTGATACAATACTCTACAATGTAATCTGCTTGTAAAAAGACCCAAAAAATTAAATAATTGTTTGTCTCCAGCTTTGCTCCCTCTGGAAAATTTTCGGTGGATGCCTCTGGTTATGTCAAACTAATATTGCTGGGTGGATAAACCCACCAAACTCTACAGGTTCACACCATACCAAAAGGCTGGCTTCGCAGTATTTTCCGGGTTTTCTTTACACGTCTAACACCTAAATAGATGCTTATTTCCATAGAAAATCCTCCTGGGAGTATCTCTCTCGACGGATTATCCCAGCGTTGTATTGTCGTATCCCACAAAACCAAACTTTCTATGATTTTAAATTTGAAAGTGCTCAATGAAATAAAAGATAAAAGGACCAAGAATTTTGATCAGAAATATGATTTTATGCTAAAAGGTTTATGCCTTAAATTGTGATAATGATGAAAATTCATTGAGTTAGTATTGGTGATAAACGTCAGCTTAAAGAAGCAAGAAATATAACCTTAAAACTACGGAATATATTTAAACGTGTTGCTTTGGTAATGATGTAAAATCATATACACGCTGCCATTCCATAGGAATTTATTTCATCAACAGAAAAGCAAACTGGTTTGCCAATACAAGGCACAGACAAATTGAAAACTATATTGCCGACTATAATTTTGTCCGCTACGGGCAGATCCTTGTGTTGAGATTGGCTAGTGAGTGAAAATGACAAAGAATATCAGCCTTAAAGAGGTATAATATCAACTTTGTGGCAATCTGACCAATTGCTGTGGAAATGAATTTGGCTAAACCTTCTATAGAAATACTGTAGTTTGATTTCGTGCTGGCTAATGCTACCAGAGTGCCTTAAAATCACTACACCGGTATCCTATAATAAAACTTGAGGAGGCTCGTGTGTCAGAATTTTCAGTGTAACCATTTGCACATATTTGAATACCAAGACATGTCTGTAGAGTCCAATCAAAAACATTAAGCACAGCTGACAGAGTTTGGGAAAAGTTGCATTATCAGGCCGAGGGTAGCTGTTTTGACAAATTTCCAGTCATTTGGGTTGTTCTAACTTGGCTGTAAGGTGTTGAGGAAGTAGATATGAAGGCACTGTCCACCATCCAGAGACAGAGGGAACTTTATCATAGAACTTTGTCTCTTTCCATACCATTGGCAGGAGTCTAGCAAGAGCAAATGTGCATGCATGACAACCACTATGCATCCTGCCATTAGTACCACAACATCATTCATTTGCAGTGGAGCCATGACAGAAAATTATGACAGCTACGGACTGGCAGCGTATTGTCTTTAGCAATAAATCTCAGTTCATTTGGAAACAAATGACCACCATACCAGAGTGTAGAGAACCACCAGTGAGCATTTCAATTCCATCTTTATTGTTGAGTAGCACTGCTTCAACTGATGGTATACCAATCCGGGGAATCTTGTGTAATAGTTGGTGACCCCTAGTAGTGAAGGACAGTGTAGTGATACATTTAGAAAACTGTACTCTCATGGCAGGGCTACAAACAACCATTTTCCAGTAAGATAATGTTTAGTCACACACAACTAGGGCATCCCAGCAAGGTCTCCATCAAGTTGTTGCACTTCCTCGGCCCACTTGATCTCTCCAGATTTGTTGCCTATCCAGAATTTTTGGTAATCAGATGGGATGAGAGCTTTGGCCTTTGCCACTCTGAAGAACATTTTCAAATCTGGATCGGATCCACAAATTTTCACTATATTGTGTTGAAACATTCATTCTCCGCAAACCAAAAAAATTTCAATCAATTCCCAGTTGTGAAAATGTCGTATTGACACTATACTTTGATTGACGTGGACTACCCTTAAGTGACTGGTTACAAAAAGGCACTACCGTCAACATCTAACAATACTGTAAAACCTTAGAGTGATTGAGGAGAATAATAAAGACAAAGAGGCCCTTCGTGCTTTCATCTGGTAACCATATTCAGCAAGACAATGCAAAGCCCTGTACTGCAGTAAATATTTGTGAGAAACATAAGCAGTTCGGATGGTATGTTCTTTCACATCCTGCCTATAGGCCCGACATTTTCCAATGTGATTTCAGTATCTTTGGTCCCACAAAGAGGCCCACGGAGACTGACACTTTGACTCAGACATCAGGGATGCCTTTCTTCACGGCTACATAGCCAGTCAGTGGAATTCTATAGAAGGATAACTGATCGTCCTTTTTGTATGACACCTGCCTTAACAACTACAGTGATTATATGTACTAAGGTCTACCTGTAACCACAGTATTAGGTAAGTTTACTTACTTTTCTAACAATCCTAACGTTTCTGATCTTCAATGATAAAGCTTTAATAAAATCTTCTACTGAAATGTGAACAGATATATCCGAGATCTCACTTTACAAAATAACTGTCCTGCCTCGGAAACAGAGCTCATTTCCTCGGATCTAATGGAGATCGTCATTTGCAGAGAGTGGAGCTCGAAGCATTGTGTTTAGTGTGAATTAAAATAGATATGAAGATAAAATTAGTATACTTGAAGGAAGAAAATATGCAAGATAACTGGAATAAATGAGAAAATTTATTTTAAAATTTAGGCACAAACATAGAGACAAGTATTTACAATACCTATAAAAGGAAAATATTGTGACAGAATATCGGACAAACTGGCATTTGTGTGAAAACAGAAAACTTGAACTTAATACAAACAATTTATAAAAGATTACAAGAATGCAAGACAGATTTCAATCTAGATCTTTAATGCTGTATGTGGCTATTCGACCGTACTACAAATAAATGGAGGAAACACAAACTGTGTAATATGCAAAACCAATAGACGAGGAAAGACTGATTCCTCAAAGATTTTTTGGCTTGCTATACTAATTGTAACATTAATTATTATGTAAATTAATTGGGACACTTCCAATGGAGATTAACTACAGGGAGAAGATAAAGCTCCGGCTCCAACAGTAGCCTATAGAGAAGTGACTTCATCAAGTGTAGAACTTTTCATTGCGGATCAAACATTTGTTATTGTTCGTTGAAATTTAAAAAAAATTTAACTATAACGTCTCATTCTTCTTGTATATTGCTCATTTTACATAACTTTAAAGGAAAATGGCAACAAACTCTTAAGATTCAACTCATTATCCTAGTTACCAAGCATAGAATAAATACAATATCTCCCAAAAAGAATGCTGCCATTTTAAATTGTAGTAATTATGTTAATTATTATCCGAGAACATCATAATATACATTAAAACATTGGAAAACCATCCAACTTTCACATTTGCCTGTAACAATTTCTTGATGCGTGCTCCTCGCTTTGCATGGCACAAGTCTGACCAATACTCAAATTCTTTTTTTGCTTATATTGCGTTAAAACCAATTTTAAGAGAAACAATGGGTATACAACGTAATGAGAAATACGGAAAAGTTAACGGGAAGTAATTATCTCGAGTAGCATTTACCATACGACTCATTGGATATGCATCTTTGAATTATGCAAACCTATTGATAATGCAGAACTAACAACAAAAAAAGATGTTTATTCTATATGTTACCTTGTCAAGTGTAAAGATTAATTACTTTACAGTACTACTCGCGCACAAATAAAATTAAATATTCAGAGAAAATGATTCTTTTCTTTATTTACTTATGTGTTACATGCATGAATATTCATACTTTCTCTAACAAAAATAGAACAAAAGAGAAACGAATGGCAGGAGAGGAAAATGTCCGAGGACGTCTTGCCCGAGGCGACGTTCTACGTAAACCGGTTCCAAGCAGTTTAATATGTTCTCGATATTTATGCCGAGACCACAAAAGAATATATAAATTGAATACACATATTAATTGACACGAGTATCAGAATTTCCAAATACGGTAGACCCCCCTATAACACTGTAGATAATTCCGTGTTATATGAATTCCATGTTGTACGAGTCACTTAGATTTTACAAATACGTGAGCCGTTTACAGCCCGGCACACATAATTGTAAGATCTAAGTGACTCCTACAAGATGGAATTCATATAAAACGGAAAAATCAACAGTGTTATAGGGGGGTCGACTGGTATTTGGCATCTCAATTAACATATTTACGAGTTTGGTTTATCAATTGTTGTAATTAACAATCGATCGGAAGTAAGCTCGCAGTTTAAAATTTTTAATTTATTATAACCATGCATGAGAAACTTACTTATTTTATCCGTAGTTATTTGATCTGTTGGCGTATCCGCAATTTTATTTGATAACATGGCTGAAAAAACAAGCAAAAATTATAAATTGTTTCCCTTCTGCGCTTAGAAATATGAGATGGCACTTACTATTATTCTTGTTTGAGCAATTAGACGATTGTTTTAGAATTCCATTTGGCATCTGGATCTCCTGAGACATCTCAGATTCGCTGCTGGGTGTGGGACTGGCGATGGTGGTGCTGTCTACGTCCGTATTTATGTGATTGATGCGATTGTTCATTTGAATGTTTTCGTGCACCACATGACCAACGCTGTGGAAGTCGCTGCTCACCGATCTCGGCCACAGAGTGGCAGAAGGATCTAAAATCAAAACGGATTAATTAATTATAATTTAATTAAGACGTTAAAATAAACGATCATTAGTCGTTACACTAACTTTTATCTTGCATTCCCTCTTGTAGCATTGTGAGAGATATATTTGGCGTGCAGATTCCGTTGGTATTGTTGTTGCCATTTTTGACACATTTATGAAGTAGTAGCTGTATGCAGTTATACAACACATCACCCGCTCTGGGTGCCCTCTCCTGAAAGTCTGACTTTTTTAACAGACAGAGTGCCTTCCCTGTATTTTAATATATCATTTTATTCACTTTTTAAAAAAAATCGACAGAATAATTTAAGAAATATCCTTACCGTTCATGTGAAACTGCTCGGTATCGACGGTGGGAAGGGATAACTGTTCGACACACCACTCCAACCAGTTATATACATTCTGACGACTCCATTGTCTCGGGTCATTTGCTGCAGTACAAAAAAAAAAATATTACAGATCATTAATATATAATCTTAAATACAAGAAAGGGAAATAGCATCTATCGCCATTGATTTTTGTATACTTCAAAGTTCATATCTGTAACGTTATCCTACATAGGTGAATGGATCACCGTGTCCCAATTGATGGGTCTGTAGTAAGGACTATAGTGGTAGGGGGTAGAAACCATCTGTGTCGTGCATACAAAGAGCAACTTATGAGTAAGAAGAGCAGGTGTGTGTACACCATTTAATGACAGGTATACATTCCAAGAAATACATCATTAAACATGTGCAGTGTGTACTTAGACAAACCTGTATGGTATAGTATTACTAATACAGACCATATATAACAATATTTAGTATTTATGTATATAAATAACAGTATTTATGTATCTAAACATAGAAAAGGTACGAGTAGCTACAAATTTTTCAGCCCCATTATAACCTTACAAGACTATTGTATACATGATTCATCGATTTATGTATATATAAAAGATGCAAAAAACATCATTTTAACTAATTTAAATAAAAGATAAAGTAGCAATAACAATGAAAAACTTGTTTGTATGAAAATGCTCTACTACTTGCACAAATTACTTTGTTTATTTTCCCAGCTAACTACAAATGATAAATTTATTTGGAACTAATTCAAATGGAAAATTGGTCAATATTAAACAAATATTAGCTTAATTTTCTTTCTAACCTTGTAATGAGTAAGTGTTTCCAGGAATATAATTTGAAAACATTCATTATGAAGTTTCCTAATGTTAATCTCCTTCCATAAAAATTACTTCAAAAGAATTACATTGAAACCATCAATACTGATCAAACTTTATAATTAGTGTAATTACAGTAAAGCATCAGAAATCAGAACTAAGTGGAGTTAGACCCCATTCAAATTTTAAAATATACGCGTAAAGTAGCATTTTAAGCTCTGTAATCTCCAAGTTTAGGTTTTCTAAATTCAAGCCAGCAGGGGCCATATTCTGGTCACTGTCTCTGGTCTCTCGCAAGCCGGTCGCTGATTAGCTAATCCAAATGATCAGCCAATCAGCGACCGGCTTACGAGAGACCAGAGACAGCGACCAGAATACGGCCCCTTGTTGTCTGCTACCTCTAAGAAGCACCATAAACAAAAATGGCGACTCTGCAACAGAGAAGGTGTGTTTTGCTTACAGTTTGCAAAGTCGGAATTGCCTGTCATTGTGCAAGGCGAGTAATCTGCAGCTACCGAGGGAGGAGTGACACTGGATAAGCCGTAGAGAGAATAGGAAGATTTTTTTAATCTCTTTTTACTCTATTTGTAATTACATTCCTTGTTTAGACAGATCCTCCAGGATTGTTCTTATCTAAGCCGGAACAATCTTTAAAATTCTGAGAAACGATGAGTAAGACTGTTATATGTAGATTAGTAAGAGAGTTTTTTCTGTAATGAGAAATTATATTGCATATTAACAGGAACTGATTCTGTAGTTTACTTGAAATGACTTATGTTTATGTGGTTGTTCTTGTTAATAGTAATGTCGAAATATCCAAAAGAGGGTGTCAAATGCTAGATATCTAGAAAAATGTTTACTAGACCATCACGATACAAGATTAAATAGAAAAACAATTAATTAGATAATTAATTCTGCAGGCACTAAGACAGGCTTTTCTTATGCCCATTAAGCAGGGCTGTCGAAAAAGGGAGCCGGAAATATTCCTGTGCCTGGTGAAAACTCGGAGGCACATAGTGATTGCCACATCCGTAATTTAATATTATTTTATTAACAGCAAGTAATATCTCAAAATATCTTATGGGTGATCCAATTAAGTTATGTTGGACCCCGTAACTCGTCAACTGACAAATCCCATTATAGGTCAGGCGTGCCCATATGGGCAAAACCTGGCCGTTTAGCCCATACTGTGCTATTGTCTCAAGTTAATAAATTAGAGCATATGAGTGAAAGAAAAATATACAGTATGTATATAGAGAATAATTGCTTATCCAAAAACAGGACATATACTAATATAACCACTGAATAACCCAATCTTTAAGATTAATACCAAACGATTGCAGGTTTATATCAGGTAACATTTGGAGTTAATAAGACATTAGTTAAAATCTAATTTCTTTATTCATTGGAGTAACAAGAGTCTCAAAATGTTCTTAATTAACTTATACTGGGATTTTCCAAAACAAAAGACATTGCGTGGCAGCGGATTATTGGTAAAATTGCGGCACTGAATGAAGCGGATGGGACCTTATCAGAGCTGTACACTATATCCGTAGGAGAAGAAAGTTAAAGGAACCGAGCGATCCTTCACGAGATATAGCCCCGAAATCAGGTTATATGGAATTTTGAAAACTCTCAAAAATGGGGTAAAATTTAAAAGTATTTCAGATAAAATTAAAAACTATAAATGGTACTTGAAAAACGTCAAATAGCCACAGTATCTTTATTTAATAAAAAAATAATAAGTATATTCTTATGTTTTTTGTATATATTTATTATATATACATAAGAAAATGTACCGTGTTTTCCGTGTTAAATTTAGTTGTTGGACCAATTAAATACATACAGTTCAATGATGAGTATTTAATTCATCGAACAAATAAATCTAACACCAAAAAATGGTACAATTTCTTAAGATTAGTATATTTAGTACCATAAGTGAGAATATGAAGTTTTACTTATTATGTAATTTTATATATTATATTGTGTAAAATATAAAAGTAAACCAGGACTGCAATTTTGCCCAAAATTCCAGCTAGGCTGAATTCAGGAGGCTATGTCTCGTGAACCATCACATGTAAACCATCGGTTCCTTTCGAAGTTTCTACTCCTACGGACATAATGTACAACTCCGGCTGTTTAGCCCACACTGTTAGGTTCCAACTGCCTCGTTCAAAACTATAACTTTACCGGATTTTTGAAGCTGAGCAATAAGTTATCCCATCACCGTTGGAATCCGCATCTGCATCCAATAATTTAACTGCAGTAATTGAAGTTTGGATTCCACATCTGTTGCCTATCATTCCACCTTTTCACCCATCACAAGTCACATCTGTAGATGATCAGCAAACCTGTGTTCAGTAGTTTTAATCTGTTGACACTACAATTTGGTATTGTTTTAGTTAATTTAAACCACAAAAGTTTTCAAATAACATCAATTTAATTCTATTTATAGCAAATTTTATGCCATAAGGATAACAAAGAGATCATTAATTATACGAAAACTTCCATTAATTTTCGGGTAGCGAGTCATCAGTGTATATAGGTCGATACTCACGTAGGGAAGAAGGTAGTAAAGTACTGGCATCTAAGTACGGGTTCGACGTTCCATCACCCAATCGATCCGTAGGCGAGAAGGGCATTGCATACACCGGAACGCATCTCCAACCAGGTAATGTTAAGTAAGCCGGTTCGGGTGTGGACGTACACTCCATGTTCTCCTCTCCACGCCTTCCAACAAGTCAATTTTTTGATTCCAACTCAGCAAATCAGGAAGCCGCCTGAAATGATAATAATCCCTCGTCAGATAACGCTTCATTGGTAATTCATATTGTAAGAAGAAACGAAAAGAAAAAAAAAAAGTCGCGCGATTCGAAGTCGTTCTGGTAGGTGACAAATATCCCAGAGTGGATAACTCAACCGCTACTCGTAACCATTCGACCAATTCCATAGACGGTAATTCACGTGACGGGCAATTAATGCCTTTACTCATACGAGAAAAATCGCGTTACATCTGCATAGTTAAACGACAGCGACAAAGTTTAGACCTACTTACAAGCAAAATATAATTAGGACAGGAGGAAAGAATCGCCGATGGTGCAACTCGCGATTATCAATCGATTATCGAAAAGAGTAACGTTTCCTAAGCAGATGGCAATATTTAGGAACTGATAATTCCGTTCTGTAATAAAAAAAAAAAAACTCGACATCCGTTTAATTAATCGCTCGTAACATCTATTGACGTGTTCTAGGAACGATTATATCGAAATCCTTGTTACAAAAACACTAAACTTCCTTTAATCTAAAAGAAGAAATCGATACATCCTCAAAAATATTTATCTGATTATTAATAAATTTCACTAGAAATGACTAAAAAAGTAGCGAGTAAAAACTCTTTCGTAACCGCTGAATTGTACTGATGTAACACTTCCGAGTATAAATAAATAGCGTTATCAACAATTTATTACAACTTTATATCCGTTTATTGCTTTCTACCTCGTTAATTAAGCGAAACAACGTAATTTCCGATATACTTCGACGCTATTGGTTTGTTTGAAATTTAAAATAACCAATAAGTTCCGTATTATCTACAAGCGACCAATAAGAGCGAGATCGAATAGCCGTCCGCTAACGTCATTGGATGACGGCGCGGTTTAAATTTTTAAAAAAAAGTAATCGATTTCAATTTTCAAATTTAAATTTAACCGAAAGAGTTAAAGGCATAACTTAATTGGTCATTGATTAACCAATGAATGAAAAAAAGTAATACGCCATCTACAATTTTTTTTTTAATTTAAAGAATTAAAAGAAGAATTTTTTTAAATCCAAATTTATCGATTCTAAAATTATTATTTTATTTTATTTTATATTTTCCTGTACGACAACGAACAAATAAGGAAATAAATGAGAAGATACAGCGGATAATCGAAAATATAATTTCCTTCCTAATTTACTTTCTTGCCGAAGAGGAAATATTGTAATGACGTAGAAAGGCATATAATCTTAAAACCAAGGTTTAAATGATTACGTAAGGGCAAATTTGCCATTATGAAAAGGCACTTTTAAAGGAATAAAATTTAAAAAAATAAAGTATATTCATCGAAGGCCTTTCACGTGACACGAATAAACATGTACACGTTTCCACGTAGGCATTTTATTTCCGTCGAATATTCTAAAATACATCTAACCAAATTGCCGGACGTTTCTAGGAATTATATATCGAGCCTCATCCCAAGTATTTCTAGGAACAGTTGCATCGAAACGAGAGTATATCCTGGATTCCTTACCTCCTCGAGTGCCACTTCCGGCGGAGACGGTGACGTCACCGAAACCGGGAGGAAGAACTAGTTCGCATTTCCGTTCTAAAAGAGATGTCACCGACAACAAAAAACGAGATTTCGATCGTATTTTTTTTTTTCTTCTTTCGTACTAAAGGAAATTATCTAAATATTTTAGGTCGCGTCAGGTACGAAAATCGGGAATTAAATATATTTTAAATGGAACTTTCTAATGGGAATATTGCCACAAGAAAATAAATAATTAATTCCTTAAGCCATTATCTACCTACATAATTAAATAATTTGGTTTAAATCGGAATTACCCTCAGGCATTTTTAAAAATTAACCGCCATCGCGGATAAAAATTCCCTTCTAAAATTTCCCTAAATTCTTATTAGTTAATTATTTACATTCCTTATAGATCGCTTCTTAAGATTAATAACAAGCTTTTTCCCGTAAAATTCCCTAAAAACTCAATGTCAATGTTCAAATATATATACAAAGAGTATAAATTGGGTTAGATTATTAACAATTACGAGTGATTTTAAAAAAAATCCTCGAATATCCCTATACATCTAATTAGGGATATTTTGGGACCGTAAAATCCCTAAAGAAAATTTTAAGAAAACCTTACATGGCAACAATTGTCCAGTTCATTCTGAATATGGGGAAGGGATATTTTCATATCGAATATCCCTGAATTTTCAAAATATCCACATATTAAAGTCCCTAAAATCTGTATAGGGAAAAAATTTAAGAATTATTCAGCAGTAAGTAATTATTCATTCTAAACGTAGAAAAATGAATAAATATTAAAATATTGTGTTCAGGGAAAATAGTCTTATGCAGCTCTCAGAAATCACAGGTTAGAACCGGTACCGGTACAAATAAATTTTCCACGCTATTTCCTAATCTGGCAATTGAAGTTCATCAACAAATCCTCAAGATTTTTTTGAACGTGTTACTTACACAGAGGAAACATTAGGGAAACTTTGTTTTAAGGTAAAATGCCTAAGGTGTATATCACATAAGAAAATTCCCTCGCTACGTAAGGATTTTTTTCGGAATTCCTATAAAACAAGGAACTATAACAATTTTATTTAAAAAAAATTTCCTCGCTATTGAAGGATTTCAAAAAAATCCCTACATAACNATATTCGTTAATATCTCATTAATTTAGTATTATTGGTCAATTCAAATTGAAATATGTCAATTTCAACAAAGCGATTGGACGAAATTCAAATATTTAAATTCGAATCGATCAATAATCTTGCTTGAAATGAACTAATTTAGTATTATTGGTTGATTTAAAACGATTAACGAATAAAACGGTTCAAATTTAAATTTTAAATTTTTAAATTGACCAATAAAATTCTTTAATTCGAAAATAACAAATAATAACGATTTTTAAATAAATTCTTGCCAATTACTAACGATTTAAACGCATTATACAGATTGTAAGTTATTTTTAAATTAGAAAATTCTACATAATTTAATATATGGATAGAAAAAAAAAGAAAAAAAAGATGTTATTTCTATAATGGTAGATGAGCGTAAAACAGGAAACTAGTGAAGAGGCAGAAAAAAAGACGTGACACGATCATCTTTTCTCCTCCCTTCCCACGTGTTGTAGTGGCCTCGTTTATCACATTTCCTCCACCTGACGCTCAACAGTTGACAGGTTTGTCTTTACTTCCGTCCTAATAGTTTGAACATGGACAACAGTCAAGGAAATCAACATTTGCAATTTCCTTGATATCTCAAATAAATTAACCACTTCCTCCCTTCTCTTTCCCTTTATTGAAAGGGCATCACAAAAGGAGAAAGACTTTCGGGGAAAGAAATCGATTTAAATAATAAATAATGAAACTTCAAACTAAAGACTATTTTTTTTTACTTCGAAAAAATCCTCATTATTCTAAAAATGTTTCCTGAAATGTTTTGAAGAATGAAAAATAAAAATGGAGCCGATCCAAACGAAAAAATTAGAAATGAAGTTGCGTATCATATTTTAAAAATTCATTTCTCTTGTTTTTGTACTAGTATATTTCCTTGTATTTTTTTTATTTTATTATTTATTTAAAAACATAGAACTCGTTTAATNAACTAATAATAATGGAAATAATAAGTGTAAAGAAAAATTTTAATTCTATTGTTAGTCGTTACCACGACAACAGCCATCTTAATTAAGCTATTTTAAACGCTAATATCGCAATATAGGAAGATTAATAATTAAAAAATGAATAAACAAGACAATTCGGCCATTATCTTTTTATTATTTCAAGCGAATTTTTGCCGTTTTTGAAGAAGGGAATCGGGATTTTTATCCCGCTTCCCCCCCGAAAATGGGGAAAAACAATTTAAAAAAAAACCCGATACGTCATGTAAGATAAAACTAGAGATAAATATGCAAATTTTTAACTTAGATTTTTTAATAAATATACATGAGAAGGAGAAAAAAAAAGAGACTATCTCGACTATAAAAGCCTAAGGCTAAAAACTCGCCTTGTACTGTACTTTCTCAAGACATACGATCCCGGGGTTTTTCCTTACCTCATTATATAAATAATTATCGAACAGTATTTTTATTAAATAAATGATAAAAATCTTTACAACTAAACGAGCACGTAAACGGACACTCGTAAATAACTCTTTAAATAGAATCGGTATCAAAATATGACATCTCGAAAACACTATTTTATACATCTGTAATTCAACGAAAGTTAACGATTCGGTTACGTTTAATCTTTTAAAATGCCAATAAAATTCACACTTAATTACAATTTTGGTCTGGGTAAATTAAAAAAAAAAAAAAATGCGATAGAGTTAACGAAACAAAAGATAAGATATTGTTTTTTGTTTCTCGGAATAATTCATCGATTTATTTACGATTTTTCAAATTATTCCCCCCATTATAAAAGTTAAAGTGTGTATTGTTTCTATAGAATTCCCCTATTCTTCCCTCGAGTGTAATACTGTTTTTATCTTACCGTTCAGACTTTCCCTCTTACGAACACAAAAATATTTCTTACATCTGTGTGACGTTTCGGAGACACGTGCAAGGTCAAACACTAGAAATTAGCCGAAAGTTATCAGTAATTTTGTATATTTAGTACGAAAACCTATAAGATTTTTCCTCGTATTGAATATAAACTGCCCGTAGTGTCGAGAAACTATTAAAATCTAGAAGGACAAAGTGTTTCGCTGGAGTCACGTGAAGCCGGAGTCGTACTGAAATGTAATATTTCAGAAAAAAAGCCATGTTTTTAGTAAATAATTAACTAAAATGGAGTTTTTAGAACAATCCTTTAAAAGGTCAATGCCTACTGATTAAATGGCGCAATTCTAAGAAACCCACCACACCCACTTCGTGAGATTAATGTCACGTGATAGCCCCCACACACAAAACACGTGTCATTAATTGGCAGGAATAAAAATTCATCGGACTTTAATAATAATAATTTTCTAAATAATTAAAAATGCACTTTTTAACGCTGAAATAA